GAATTTGTGATCCACAATAACATACGTAGTTAACTGGGTCAGACTGATCCATAGTAAAGCTCCAAACCAGTGTTATACTGAACATGAAGAAGTTGGAAGTATTGCTAAATATGCCTCCTTGAGTTTGTTTTTTCCTTTTCGAGGCTAAAGTCTGACTTTCCAGAAACCCTCTCCATAGGGAGTACAGCCATTTGTCTCCCGCCACCAAACCCAGAGTGGAAATAAAAGTAGCTCTCAATCATAATGAAAAAAGTAGCAGCACCCTAATTTCCATGAAAGGGAGATGAGTTATGCTTGCCAGATACCAACTGCTGCTTCAGCTTGAGCTGTCTTCTCAGAGAATCACCAAGCAGCAATCATATGGCAGAGCTTACGCTATGCCAGTATTCATATTCAGTGTGGGGGTTTTTTTCAGTCTGGACAAAGAATTTGACAAATTCTTATTAACAGTCAGAGTTTCAATAAAATAAAATTTAAACAAAAATCCTTTAGCAAAAAAGATTCCTTTTAAGCCCTCATTTGACTGTCAAGTAGCCTGCCTGCCTGCCTTAACTTCGGTGGGACCAACCTTTTTGGTAGGCATGCCACAAATTAGACACAGGACCTCCCCAAGTGTCCCGCTGATCTCCCTGCCCCAGGCAATTTGTTGCTTTGCTTTCTACTCCCAGCCCTGTGCTGCCTGATCTGCTGCTCTGCCTTTTCCTTTCTGCTCTGTCCTGCCTGCCCCATCCCTGATCTGCTACTCTCACACGCAGAGGCTGTCTGTGCCATTTGTGACACATGTGCCACATGTTGGCCACCCCTGCCGTACTGAATTTCATAGATTTAACCATTCAGAGCTAGGGCAAGCTGTTTGCCTACGGCCGTGGTTCCCAACCTTTTTAGACTTGAGACACCACTCATCAGACGCAAGGTATCCACTGGGGGAAAATGCCAGCTCTTATTTTCACACATTTTTGATGACACAAAAATGAGAGAGCAATTCTTTTGTTGCAAAAACCTCAGAGAGACCCCCAACAGGTCAGGCTGTTTTTAATACAGTAGATTCCTATTTGAAATCACTGGATTTATCTTGTGAATCACGCTTGCACACCTAACACTGCTAGTACTGCCCCCATACCGCGGTTGAGAATCATTGCCCTAAGAAAGCAAAGATTTCCCATTTCCACCTTCCTCTTTGCCCAACCTAAAGGAATGGCTTTCTTCCACTGGAAGTACTTGTTACATCTCACCGAGGAAGTTGGTTTTAAATACAGTGACCCCTTTTCAGAATGAATAATCAAGTCTGTAATCAGGAGGTACAGAATCTAATTATGAGAGGGCCCCCCTCCCACTGCTTCAGGAAGGAAACTAGTGGCTGGGGGGTCAGGTGTCCCCCTTGCCCTTAACTCCCCACCTTTTCCCCCCTGCAGCCTTTCTGCCCCTGCTACCACCTGCAACCCCCCACCCAGCTCCCCACAGCCTCTGCCCACCGCCCTCCTCGGGGTCACACCATGCTAGGTCTCTGTTCCCTCCCCAGGGCAGCGCCTGGAGGCTCAGCCTTTGCCAGGCGGGGCAGCAGCCATGTCCCCCTGATTGCCTGGGCAGGAGACAGGTCCAGGTGCCCCCTGCTTGGGAGGGAGCCCACCCGGCTGTGCCTGGAAAGGGAGCGGGGCAGAAGCTGGGGAGGGCAAAGGGGGGGAAGGGCAGGAGGATGCTGCGGGCTGACCTCAGAGCTGCCTGCCCCCCGCGCTCTGCGTGTGAATTTAAGACGGGGGGGGATGTCCTGTCTTAGATTTGAGTAACTCGTGTGTTTTCTGCAGGTATAGACACACTGGGCGCTTCCCCAGCAGCGGGGGGCGGCTTGAGGCTGAAGCCCACACCAAGGTAACTCGGAGCCGGCGGAAAGCGGGTGCGGGGGGGGCGGGGGTGAAGGAAGGGGCGCGGGTCCCGGGAGCTCGCGCGCAGCAG